AGTAGAAGCTGCATTTTTTAATCCAAAAGGCATCACCTTCCAACGGTATTGGGAACGATGTGTCTTGAATGATGTTAAATCACGACTTTCTTCTTCTAAAGGTATTTCCCAGTAACCTTTCAAAACATCTAAACAGGTGATAATATTCGCGTGTCCAATTTTATTGATTAGATCAGTCACATTCTCCATTGGAAAATCAACAGGCTTGGTTACTTGATTCAACAATCTAAAATCAATACATAAACGCATACTTCCGTCTTTCTTGGCAACACATACGACTGGGTATGCTATTTCAGCTTCACTTGGCTCAATAAGACCCAAGCTCTCTTAATTCCTCGATCTGTTTATCTACTCCAGGTTTCGAAGATTCTGGGATCTTATAGATGTATGGTTTTTTTTCTTTCAGCTCCATGTGCTTGAGTAAAAGCTTGTGTAATTCCTTTTGTTTGCTACCCTCTAAATGACTAATATCCACCTCAATGTCCCTTCTAGTTACTGCGCAATCTCCTTTATTTGGAGTTGGTATGAATTTCCCCAAACTCAGAATCATCTTCAAATATCACTCCCACAGTTTGTGCTCGAACATAAAATTTTCTTATTTTGTTTACATGAACATGCCGCACACTCCCATCGGGTAATTTAACTTTATAAGAATGAGGATTTACTCTTTCAACAATTTCACCTGGACCTGTCCACCTAGCATATAGCTTGTTGCTAGAGTCTGGTATAAGTAAATATACTAGATCACCATTTTAAAATTCTTTCAAACTTTTGCGACGGTTAAAATAATATGCATAAGCTTCTTGTTTTTCCGCGGCAGATAAAGAAGCGAGCTCAGATGCTTTCTCTAAATTTATCTTTAATTCTTGTAGATAATCAACTGCTGAATTACTCAGATTAAGAGGTAATGGTATTTCACCGGACCATGATGATTTTAACACAGCTAAGGGACCTCTAGCTTCACGACCGTACATAAGCATAAATGGAGATACACCGGTAGTGCAATTTGGAACTTCACGATACGCAAAAAGTAAATAAGGTATGTGCTTGTCCCAATTAACAGGATCTGTGCGAATTACATGATGTAACATTTGTTTAAATACCCGATTCCATTTTTCCACTGAGCCGTTTGATGCTGGGTAACCAGGTGTCGAAAAACGAGGATGAGTTCCTAACCTTTTTTCGAATTCTTGAGTTAATTGTGAGGTAAAATTAGTGCCTTGATCGCTACAAATTATTTCTGGAATACCGGTTCTCATAAAAATATCTAAAAGAGCCTCACAAGTAGCTTTAGCAGAAAGACTTTTTAAAGGTATGACTTCTGGCCATTTTGAATGATTATCTATCAAACACAAACAATATTTATGTTTCCTTCCTGAAGGAGGTGAAATTTCACCAATAATATCTATATTTACTGTATGAAAGGGATATGGCGCGCGAACAATAGGAGTAATCGGAATTTTATCCGATTGTCTTTCCGGACTTTTTAATTGACATCTTTCGCATGTTCTACAATAATTTTCTACATCTTTGGATATGTTCGGCCAATAAAATGAAAGCTTAATTCTTTCTTTAGTTTTCCTCATACCTAAATGATTTCCGAATATGGAATCATGAGCTAATTGAAGGACTTTATTTCGATAATTCTCGGGCAAAACTAACTGTTGTATGTTTTCCCCACAAATTTTTTCTTTATGAAATAATAATTCGTCCTGTAAAAAGAAATTATTCTTCTTCCCTAATTCTGCGTCCTTAAAAGAATTTATTAATGTTTGGCAGTTTCTCTGATCGACCTTAAATTTATTTGATTCCGAATAACTGTTTAATCTTTCATCATCCTGATTCGCAACTGAGCTATAAAAAAGATTTACATTTGACAGTTCAACGGCGCCAACCTTAAGTTGTTTTTGTTTATGAGTTTTCGATTTCACCTTAGGGAAGACCGTTGATTCATTCTCGTCTTCAAATATGTGATCCCATACATCTGGTGTAATTAAACATTGAGCTTATCTGTAAACGCGAAAAGAGCTTCTACGCGTGAATATAGACAACTTTTTTTTTTTTGTAATAAATGGGAGTAGTTGCTAACGTTGCCTCTATGACGTCACCAAATGCAGAACTTAAAATGATTTTACCCTTACTTTCTATTTTTAAATCAGGAATTAATGCAGTGTTCAAAATTGGTATTTCCGTACCTGAATCTTTTATAGCTTCTACTTGCTTCCCTGCAATGTAAATAGTAATCTTTTCCAAGGAATAAAAATTAAGTTTTCCGTCGGAACACTCGCGTTTTTGTAAATGTTTAGAATTTACATTTGTAACAACCGCATTGTCCTTCGGTTTACTTGAAGTGTTAACTTTCGGTTTGACCGGGAAAATTATCGTTCTGTTTATTGGACCTCTCAAATTTATTTCGCCTGTTCGGGCAATCCTTAGCCAAATGTAAACTGCTACTACACACATAACATTCTCGCGGTTTAAAACGAATGTTTCTGTTCATTTACCACTGAATCTTTTCTTAGCGCTGGTGGAATATATTTAGAGTTTTTGTTGTATGAATCACGAAAATTAGCGCGTTTTTCACCTCTTATGTCATCAAAAGATTTACCTTTTGCGATGAAATAAGTGTCGCATTCCTTCGCTAGTTCTTCTGGACGTAGCCAACTTTCACCTTGTCGAACTGCAACATGGCACGCTAAATCACTATCCAATGTTTGAAAAAGTTTGTCAGAAATTATTAAGTTAATTAAAGACTCAAAATCATTGACGTTTCTACTTTTACAATAATGGATCCAACATGATCTTAAACGAGAGGCGAACTGCAAATGAGTTTCCCCCGTCAACCTTTGAGCTTGGCGAAAATTTTCTAAACATATAATTGGCGATGGTTCATATTCCTAGGGAATTAAAGATTTAATTTTTTCATAATCTTTCAAATCATCATCTTTAATATATACTAGAATATTAGAAGATTTATCACCTATCAGTTTAAGTAAAATTTCAGACTTAAACTCATTTGGTACGTTCTTATGCTTAAAAGCCCTTTCTATGGAATCAAAAAATAAGTTCCATGCTTCACCCTTTTTAGGTACAGAAATCGATAATGCCTGTACAGCTTTCAAAAGCTTATCTAATGAAAGTGTATTTTCTACGTTATTACTAGATTCGTTGCTACTTTCGATTTGCATTAAACGCAATTTCACAATTTCTTCTGACTTTTTCCTTTCTTCAACCGTAGTATTAAGAAATTCAATAACAAAATCTTTATCTTTCAAATATTCTTTAGAACTTAAAAGCTTATCTTTTAATTCTACAACTTTTAAACTAGAATCGGCTTCTTCACCGAGTTCCTTCAACACCGAAATCAAATCACTTTTAACTACTCCTTTAAACATATTTAGAAGAAATTTTCCTTAAAGTTACAACAAAAATTTCTCACCTTTTCTCCAAAATCCAGTCGGCTTCGTTAGCTCTGGTTCTCGAAAGAGAGCGTGCTGTAATGACCTTGCGGATGCTTAATAAGGCACCATAAGGAAAAACGAAACAAACATTTATTAAAATTAACGTTCAAAGAATAATAGTAAACTCGGAGCAGTACCTTGCTCCTACAACATAGCGAAATATACCACCTTCCTCCTCTGAGGCAGACATGCAACCCCTGTTCTTTCTCACTTGCTGGACTCTGGCAGGCAGCTGATTGGCTCACTGCAGCCAGATACATGACAAAGTCATTCTAAAAGTTGATGTTTCTTATGAAGATATTGATATTTTCTTAGATATGCTTCTTATGAAATTAGCATGAAGTATTTCTTAAAGTGTGTGAAAGTGATATTTCTTAAAGTGAGTAAAAATTGCTATGTTAATTTAAATAATAAAATCAATTAAAAATAATGATTCATACTTAAAAAATTTAATAATTAAGAATAATAATGTACTATATAATTTAAATTAATCCCATATTAAATAATTAAAAAATATTAAAGTAAAGTTGATGTCATTCAAAACACACAGGTGGTTCAAGAGGTTATTGCCACAAAGAGAATAAAAAAATCATGGTTGCTGCAAAAATAAAAACTTTGGAAAAAACTTGTCGTTGCTACAAAATAAACTCAAACTTGTGAATGACATCATTTCAACAGTCTAGATCGGGTTCTCAACTGGTGGTACGCAAGAGAAAAATAGGTGGTATGCAAAGAAGAAAAGTAATTTTAACTATTAAATTCAAAAATTAAAACCCCAACATCCTCATTGAGTATTGTATCTAACACTCGTAAATTTATGCGATCTGAGCTGGTAGTAGTACTTTATGGTGGTGGTACTAAAGGTTTTCAATTATTATTTATATAGTTACACATTAGTCTAAAGGTTGAGAACCGCTGATCTAGGTCATTTCCAGGAAAATTCAAGATGGTGGCAGCCATGCTTCTTTTCTGTGACATCACTTCTGCCTATCAAGTACCGTGAGTTACTACTAAGAGCTAAACACAAGTTAAATAGCCATGAAAAATGAATTTTTTATTAGTTAAACTGATTAGGATCATGTCTAAAAGAATGAAAGTGCAGCGTGCGGGTTATTCAATACTGTACTTGAAGACTGTAGTAATGAATTTTATAGAAATTATGGAACGTTGTGTATGCATGTGGGTATATATGAAGTGAAGGTTTAATTCATTTATTTTCAGTGATGATATGAAAGAAGGAAAAAAAAAATAAATAAATAAAGGAAGGGGGGACATTTCAGACTTTATGACAGTTGAAGGAATTAAAAGTTCTGTTTGTGAGAGTTGAAGTGTTTTATAGTTAAGTTTTTTTTTTTTCCCCCTAAAACACGTTCTCAATTTTCTGCCAACTATGAAATTAGTGCTGTGTAAAATAAACAAATAAATGACTTGTATGTTTTATTACGTATGTGACAGTATTAAAATTTCTTAATTTGTTGTTTTATTGTCTTTTAAGGAATGTACATATTATTTTTCATAAGTATGTTACTTATTTTTCAGATGAAAAGGAGAAATACGATCCTACTGGTTTTAGAGATGCCATTATTCAGGGTCTTAATGAAAGTGGGTCTGACTTAGAATTAGTGTCAAAATTCTTAGACACTGCAGGGTCCAAATTAGATTATCGTCGTTACGGAGAAACTTTATTTGATATTCTTCTTGCTGGTGGAATATTAGGTATGATTATTTTTAATATTAAAATATGTTTTTGATATTTTTTCATTATTTTGTTAGTTACACGTGTAAACATATTTTTTGTTTCCATCTACTTATCCATAACTCTTGTAGATAAATTAATCCAGTTAACTAGGCAGAAAGCTAAAGTAGTTTTTCAAGTAGCTGAACATATGATGACAAACTGTGTACATTACATTAGTCTGTTTATATATATATATATACACTCTGTTGCAAAAAATATAGGTATCTAGAAAACATTGAGCCAGAGCTATAAAGCCAGCCTACCTACACCTGGCATGCAAATGTGGTTTGGCAAGTTGTGAGAGTCCTGTAAATTATTAAACTTGCAGTATCAATCGGCATTTTGGAGTGATATAACGTGTGTCTGAAGTGCACAGCTTGTAGAATATAAAAGGGTAGGCATGGTGAGTGACGAGCATTTACAACTTTGCTGATAACTTAGATACATGACATTGTAAAGAAAGATGCTGATAAGATGTACTCAGTTGTCTTAAAAATTAGTTGTCAGTCTTTGAAAAGGATCACATTAAAGGGCTAAAAGAGGCCAGTTAGTCGAAAAATGGATTGGCTGGCATATTGGTTGAAGCAATATGGGCATTATTGGAACCATTTTCTCAGCGAAGGCATAGTCAGCTGTCGTAGTGACTCGGATGACCCCAGGACACCAGTGTGTGAGATGATCGTGCAATTAGAAGAGCTGCCATGTCCACACTAACAGTTACGATATCATTAATTTAATGCCATTCTCGAGCTTTCATGGATCCTGGAATATCCAGGGATATTATTTGCAAAAAACTAGGTGAAGCTGGGATTAAATCTTGACATCCATTAAGAAGCTTGCCATTGACATTCTACTGTTTGCTGAAGCTGGACAGTGTCCGATTTAAGAAATGTGATCTTGAGCGAGAAATTGCGCTCACCATTAATCGTGCTGCGAACTACTCTGACTGCTCGCAGGTATATTGATGATATTTTGCAGCTAACTATACTACCTAAGCTTGTAGGTCATCCAGGTTCTATTTTCCAGCAGGATAATGCTCAGCCACCTTAGCATGACTTCCCCAACAATGTTTTCAGTGTGTTAATGTCCTTGACTAGCCTGCCAGTTCTCCGGACCTGTCAGCTATCGAACAGGTTTGAGGCATGTTGGGCAGACAAATTCAGCAGTGTACAAATACATCCAAACTCACTGATCAGTTGCTCCATTTGTGGCATAATCTACCGTAGAGGGACATTGCCAACTTAATAGACTACATGCCCAACCAAGTAATGCCTTGTATAGCTGCCAGGTATGGTTTTACCACCTACTGATTTTCACATTCTTTGTATTGCTATTTCTAAATAAAAAAGTGTTTTTGCAGTTTTTTGATCATTTGTTTCTACTCGAGCGTTATACTATTGCCGAGTTTCAATGTTGTAGCTCAGTTTTTTTTTCTGGGTGCATATATTTTTTTGTCAACAGACTGTTTAAAATACACTGATTTCCCTGGGAAGCATTAAGGTATACAATGAAGAGCCAAAACATTATGGCCACTTGCTCAATAACACATTGCATGATATTTAGCCTGCAAAACAGCTGCAACTTATCTTGGCATGGATGTCACAAATTCTTGGTATAGCAGTGGTCACACGAAGTCGATATATTCTGACATGGTGCTTGAGATCTGAGCTGCCATTCCATGACATTCCAAATGTGCTCTATTGGTTAAGATCTAGCGAATTGGGCTGCCAAGACTATGGAATTCGTGCTTATGCTCCTTAAACTACTCCAGTACAGTTTGAGCCTTGTGACACGGGGCATTGTCCTGGTGGAAGATTTCATTTCTAGTTGAGAAGACAGATGCCATGTAAGGGTGCACCTGATCCGCAATTATGTTCAGATAGCCTGCAACTTTCATGGTCTGTTCTACCACAACTAAAGGTCCCAGAGCCACCTATGAGAATGTCCCCCAAAGCATAATACTGCCACCACCAGCCTGTGCCACAACCTGTAGTACAGGGAGGTAGCAACTGTTTATCTGGAAGACGGTGTAGACATGACTAACAATATGATGAATGAGAATTGTGATTCTGGCATTGATTTTTTTGTAGCGGGACAATCTTTGACATCTTTTTTTCTTTGATGAAGCATGGATTTCTAACATCTTTGTGTCTACTGCTTGGCATCTACACCTTGGCCTACTGCTTACATCTACACCTTGGCATCTACTGCTGGTTTTGCCATCTTTTATCCACTTTCTATAAATACTAACAAGGGCAGATTGTGAACAAACTACCAGTCCTGCAGTTTCGGAGCTACTAGTATTGAGTCTTCGGGCCATTACAATCTCACTTGCAAAAGTTATTCCCTACCTTCTTCAGCAGAAGTTCAATACCATTTCCATCTAATCACGTGCCCTTCACTATCAAGATGAGTTCATTGAAAAATGTGGGGATTGTCATAATGTTTTGGCTCATCGGTGTATATCGAGTTATACACTGACTACCAATAAGTATTTGGACACCTGTGATAGAAAAGAAAAACTAACTTTATTCAAAATCAATAGTTGGTAGAGCCTCCACAAGAGGTAATTACAGCGTGGACCCTCCGGGGCATACTTTTCATAAGTCTTTGTATGACAGCTAGTGGTATTTTCTTCCACTCAGCTGGAGAAGACATAGAAGTTCCTTCACCGATTTTGCACGGGTAGTGCACCCCTGAATTCGGCGATGCAACTCGTCCCAGAGGTTTTCGATAGGGTTCAGGTCTGGACTCTGGGCAGGCCAGTCCATTCGATGAACTCCATTGGCACCATACCAAGCCTTGGTTAACGTCAAAACATGACAACTGGCATTGTCGTCCTGAAAGTAACAGGTGTCCAACCCGTAAAACTGCCACAACGTAGGAAGCACATTGTCATCCAAAATAGTGCAGTAGACATCGGAGTTGAGCTTACCATGAATGGGGACCAAGGCTCCCAGCCCATACCAGGAGAAACACGCCCATAACATAATTCCACCTCCGCCGAACTTGACTGTTGGCACAATGCATTCTGGCAGGAGACGTTCTCCAGGTAGACGCCAGACCCAGACCCTGCCATCTGAGCGATAAAAGGTGAACTTTGATTCGTCACTCCAAAGAACCCGTTTCCACTGATCTACGGTCCAATTTCGATGTGCTTTGCACCACATTAGCCGAGCAGCACGGTTACACTTTGTCATCAAAGGCTTATGGGCAGTAACACGACCCTGAAAACCAAGCAGATGTGCTTCCGTATGGATGGTATTCATTGAAACAATACTCCCGGATGCCTGTTGAAACTCCTCGCGGATTAGGGCCATCGGTTGGGTGCGGTTCTTCCGAATTTCTCTGGACAGCAGTCATCGGTCTCTATCTCCCAAGTTCGTTGGTCTGCCGACTCGGGGCACATTCCAACAATCACCGCTCACCTTCCACTTCTTAATCACATAGGCCACTGTCGATTTTGGGTACTTCAGATTGCCAGATATGTCCCTTAAGGATCGGCCACATTTGTGATACCCGATAATTATACCTTTCTCGAAATCAGAGAGCTCCGAACTGCGAGGCATCTTGCATGCGACTAAAGCCGATGGTGTTTCCTACACGGTATAGACCGGTGTAGTCCGTGACGTACCTTAGGACCACAGATCTCGTAATTTGCATAGGTGTCCAAATACTTATTGGTAGTGTATTTCACTGTGTTATAAATCTGCCTGATTATGGCTTGAGTAAGAATGGAATCTATATTGAGGAATAGAATCTGTGGTTCGATTCTTAAAGATTCCATTTCCAGCTTGGGGAATTTATAGTAGTCAGTGTGGTTTGAGGTATATTGGCCAAACCAAAAGAGCATTAAAGTTTCGTATCATGGAACGTGAATAAGCCTGAAAGGGCAAAATTAATAAGTCTTCGATAACTATTTGGGATTTGGATTTTCTTTAAGCATTTCATTTTCACGAAGATGTATCTTGTTTAGTTAATGTCTTTAAATCCGATCCAGTCCTTCGTAACACTTTTAAAATTCTGTTTACTTAATTTTTTAATTTCGTTACTGTTTTTGCTAACAGGTGCTATACTTTCTTGTTCGCTTTACAACTATGGAATATAAATACGACCCTTGTGTCGACTGCTTTCCAATCTTGCAGATTTCTTTGCTCCTGATGAAGCAGCACCTGTACCTGTTTGCTCTCGAAATAGATTGAGTTATTGAATAAATCTGCATGATGTGCAAGGTTGTTGCTTTGCTAATTTTATGTTTCACTTTAGCATGTTCCTGGGTCTGTAGTTTTGTTTTAGTTGTTTGGTTTCATTTTAAATTATTGCTAAATCCCAAGTCTACAGATTGTTTACCTTTTGACCAAGGCTATTTTAATTTCTTTTTTATCTTTGGGCTTGGATAATACAGCCCCTTGCTTAATCAAAATTCGAACAGTTGGGGATCTACTGTAATTAGAAGAACTGCCATGTTACTTTCTTCTTCGAGGAGCAAAAACATTGTGTAGGTCCAATTTGCTGGTCATGAATTTTGCTCAAATTTGAATTTCAGTTTACATGCTTCTCTTCTAAATATAGTATTTTTAATTGCTTAAGACATTTAATGCAATTTATTGTATAGAATTAAAAGATTACACTGTTTGTTAAGCATTGTTAAATGAAAACTTCCGCTTTCATAAACATCTTAAAAATGAAATTATTACTCATATTATGTTATTTCTACTAAAATGATCATAATGATTTGTCACGCTGTTTTTGAAATGCCAAAATTTCTGCCTTGCATGCTTTGTCAGTAAACTACTATGTCGGACAAAATCTTGCATTTTTGACATAATCTGAGTAGTGGTGTTTATTGTGCTAAGTAAGTAGTTAATGAATTTTAACTGTTTTATTCAGCACAATATTCAGAAATAAATATTGTAGCAAAATGCAACAAAAAAATTAAATGGCATAAAATTGTTCATGGGAAAACTTTCTGTAAATGTCATTTAGATTATCTTCTCTAACTCTTTTGAGAGAAATCGTTAGCATCATTTTATTTTAGGTTTTACTTGTAAACTGAATGCTTAAGAGTTACTGGATTTTTATAACTTTGCTAAAATCATCGGTGTAATAGATAGTACAAGCAACTGTTAGTAGAGACATATGATTCATTAGCAGTTATATAGCATTTTGAAAGGCCCACCAGTGGCTGAGAAATAAAATCGCTGAGCACCGATAATTCTGACTTGGGTTCAAATCCAAGCAGAGGGCTGGCTGCATGGGCATTTTCATAGTTTTCCCATAACATGAATACTAGCTATTTTTTTTTCTTAGAAAGTCCTCCATGAAGCCACCCCTCCCCTTAAGCAGATAATCCTAGTGTGCTTTGCTATAATAAACTAAACAACCATATATGCAAAATGAATGTTGTTATTTTGTATCTGTTTTCTTCCTTGCAATAACTGTCTGCTTGTGCTTAGCATTGCAGTGAAATAAAATTTGATTATTTATCCTCTAATTGATGTAAATGCAATCTCTGGATAAAAAATACTCCATCACAGATTAGAAAAAAGACCATGAAAAGTGTAAACCCAATGAGAGTCAGTTCTCAAAAGTTTGCTTATTTTCATTTTTTGTTATGTTACTTTCAACCACTGCTGCATTTTTTATACTACATTTTATCTTCATAGAATATGAAAACTCTTGAAATCAATTTCTCGCTCGTGAATAAGCAGCCATTATCTGTGAATGTGGATGTTCTTGTTACTAAGCAGCCATCATTTCATCAAATTTTTTGCCTGAAAATCTAAAAGTCGTTTTAAATTCTAAAGATAGCAACCAATTTTATTCCTATATTTATTATGTCTGTAGTTTTCCATTTTTCGATTGCATATTTGAATTAGAGTCTGCATGAAACATGGCAGTCTATTAATCATTCATCACTAGCATACAACTTTTTATTACTTTAATTTAGTTACTTGTAAAATTTGTTATGAATTGAAATAAGTTAGAAATTTTATTTCAGTTTTGCTTTTATGACTTTCTGTATCTGACATTTTCCCCTGATAAACTGGCATGCACCTTACATTAGATGTTTTCTGTCTCAAAATTGTATTTTAAAACAGTATTTTTAGTAACTTGGCTCCATTAAGAGCTAATTCTTCTGTTATCAGAGTATTTTCTTTTTCTAATTTAAGATCATTCCCTTAAAAAAGAAAAATAAAATATGATTCATCATATTGACCTCACATTACTTACTCACATTACTACATCATTTTATTTGAAACAAAACTAACCTATAGGTGCATATACTGCAATCGGCATGTTTGAGTCAAGTATGATTTCGGTTCTAAGGTTTTGAGCAAAAGCATTTTAACAATACAAATAACAGTAATACTTATGCTTATAAATAACACAAAACTGCACACACACTTAGAAAAAAATTATGACGTATATTTTGGTAACATTCTCATCGACATCAAGAATTTTCAAAATGTTATTTAAAATTATGCTGAATCACTATATGGCATTGATAAGCAATAATACTGTTATAAATTTAAGAGATTTATTAAAGATTCAGTTGTTGATAAAAGTTCACCTAGATCTGGCATCATAATTACATTTTTCTATTCTCGAAGATTTGTTGTAATACTTTTAAGAGGAGTATTATATACTTATATGCCATATTCGAGCATATAAACGAAACTTTTCCATTAGCAACAAATAAGTTTTTCAGTTTTATTACTTATTTATTAAAGAGAGGGTTAAGGAGCTGTCCACAATTTTATTGCATTATGGTGGTGATTGTAGGTATGTGATTTCTATTCCACAGAAGTGCACAGTGTTCTGCAGTGCATTGTATGGTATCCTGTAAATGTGGGTACTTTAGGGAATCTCCCCCTTCTTGTATAGTGTTCTTGTAAGTGTGGCTATAGCTTTTTTTTTTTTTGGCCTGTCAAGGCATCATAAAGCAGAAAGACAGTGGGGGAATTTTTTAGTATATCACAAGTTAAAAGTGTAGCACCTGAAGAAAATTCCATTTAGAAATGATGTGTTAGCAATATTTGAGCACTGAATTCAGATAAAAACATGTAATTATGCCATAGAAAATTAAGCATTCTAGAAAACTAGGACAAATTGGTTTTATTAAAATATAAAATATTTAAAAATGCTTTTGCATATTTGTACATGTGTGTGTGTGCATATGTAAAGCAGATAATACAGATTAAATATTGCTGCTCTTTTTACAAGTTTAAAAATACATATTTTGTGTATTATTCATCTGCTTCATAATTTTTGATGCATTATTTATAATATTTCATTCACAAGGTTGTTAATAATTTTTTAAACAGCTAGAAAAACTTCAGTGATTAATTTTTCTTAAAGAAATAGTTACTTTATAATCATTAGCAAATTTTATTTTTCAGCTTTCTGTAATTTGCATGCTTTGCTTTTACTATTTGTTGTTATTATTTCATATTTAGCACCAGGAGGTACTCTAGCATTAGATGTGGATCCTCAAAAAACCTCACGAACTGATGTATGCATATTTTCGGCTGCAAATGATTTGGATACCTTGAAAAATTTTGCTCAGGTAACTTTTTCTATTTCATATGCGAAAGACATTTTTATGTATCTGTAGGTTCTAAGGAGTTTGGAATTCAATGAATGTATGCTGAATTTAGATTTTCATCATATATATTTTGAAATTATAGGCCTTTTTTAAATTATAGGCATAGGCATTTTAAAATATCTCAATTTTAAAACCATTTGGCCAAAAAAGGTAAAATTATTTTTGCAGAAATCTGTGTAGTACATCTGAAAAGATATGTACATTTTTAATTTTATAGGCCTTTTAGTCTTATGCCTGGTTTTAAATTGGTTTCTGGTTTAAAAGAGAATGTGATTTTTCTTTTTATAGGAAAATCTGGAGTTTAGGAGGATAATATATCTTGGCCAACTGTTTTAAGAAGTTTGATTTAACCTCAGTGCTTGAATTCATTCATAGCTGGAATCATTAGACACAGTTTGTGTGGTCAGTTTAAACTTTGTCTTCATTTCAGTCTTAATTCACGATATATATGTATACATGTATTTACTTTTGCATCAAAATGCTTATGAATTCAATAAGGTAAAAGTTGGCATAAGACGATTGGATATTAATAATAATGTTGTGATCTCCTAAGTGGCATCTGCATGATTTACATAGGAAACAAATAGTTTCAGTAACAGTCGACAGGAAATATTTGCAATTTCAATTTTGCAGTGTGTGCCAAAATTTTATATGCAACAAATATAGGATCTGCCATTTATAATATGTGTTATTTTAAACTTAAATCATAAAAGTTTATCCTATCAATATAACGGCTCACATTTTAAAAGAAAAATTAAATGTGAGAGAGCATAATGTATGATTTTTTAACACTGGAGCAGAAACTTTATTTTAAATGAAAAAAAGTGTGTAGAGGATCACAGGGCAAGGACAAATTTTATTTTTGTTTAATCAAGATATCATAGTGCTGTGTATTGAAGATTATCTGTGTGATCTAGTTTTAGATTAAATGAATAATTTAGTAATGAGTGCATAATAAGAAATAAGACTTACATTGTTCTGGAATAATATAAATATGCTCTTAGTAACTATTTAACTCTTTGTTATAGTGAATTCCATGTAATTATGCAGATAACTTTTTAAGTCAAGATGTTGTGCCTAGAGCTCAGCGACTGAAAATTTTCTTCATGTTTCTTTTTAAAAATTTTTGAGATCAATTCATGAGTTTATCAAAAATGTATTTGTCATTTGAAAATGAACAGTGCATATTTAAGCCTTGCAGCATGTACAGTTTTTGCATGAGCAAGATTATGTGAAATTGGGCATCGTATAATTCTTGGCAGATGAAGTTACTTTTCTGCTTTGCAAGTAACAACCAAGTTGTCTTCATTTGTTTTCTGTGCAGGCTCTATGTATTAGTAGACAAAATTGTAGAAACCTTTTCGAAAAATTGTATTTTGACATTTGATAGCTCGTAATACTTCATTTTTTGACTAATGCAATAAAATTGTATATCAATAGACTGATAATTTAATCAATAATGTAATATAATAGCATTTATGAGGGATTTCTTACAAGAGCCTCTGTTATAAAGAAAATAACTGAAACATGCAGAAAATGAAATATGTAGAAATTCTCACCATGCCATTTATTACTTAATTCTGTAAATTTAGTACTTATCACAGCTTTACAAATCCTTTCCAAATATTTTACTTTGTAAGATGCTTAATGTTGATAAATAAATTTTTGCTGTAGCATACTTTATATCAGCTACTGTTATTATAACATCTACTTTCCATAAGCCCTCACAGGATCCAAATTAGATTGAAGAATATCCAAGTTGAGGATTTGAATGTTATATAGATAGAGCTTTTTCTAGTGGTGCTTGCTGCTTTATTTCTTCTTCGCAGTTCTCCCTGCTTAAATTGTAGCATTAGCTATTTTGCTAGCTGATGTTAAAATGCGGCATTAAAATTTTGACCAAGCTTAATTAAGCCAAATTTATGCAGTCTGCAGCTAAGATACTTTTTAATTCTGAATTCAACTTATTTTAAATACCCAGAGGTAGTGAAGTTTTATTTGTATGCAGAAGTTCTGCCTTCTGTTTAAATTTTAGTTAAATAAAAAGGTTATTTATAACTTTGAAAGGATGTTTTGTATTCACATTAGGCAGAGCAATAACTCACTTAGTTTATTAGGGTCTGAAGGGCATTTTAGTTAATACTATGGAGTGGCCGTCCAAACAGCATGACTGCGATACTGAAGGGCTCAGATTCGAATCCCGGAGAAGGCATGGATGTAAAATTATCTGTTCCTTCATATGAGGTAACAGTGGCCACCTATTAGGTGCCTCCACAATAAAATGGCCACCACTTCTGGCCTTAGTTGTGGCCAGTGCCATTATAGACAAGTGCCTGCCATTGAAAAAAAGATATTATGCAATAAAGACCCTATAAGCTCTGCAGCTGTTATGTGAAATCAAGAGTGAATTATTGCATATTTTAATTGATGAGTCATTTCAGTCTAATAAGTTTTACTCAGTGGGATAGATTAAGGTTTGGGCTAATCCCAAACCATTATAGCAGTGGAATAAGAATACCACTTTTTGCACACAGTAGCAGTATACCATGCAGCTACATCCTATTCATATTTTAAAAGCTGCTTTATCTTGGTAGTGTTTATGTATGGCAGACTTCAGTTACAGCATGTATTTTTGGTATGGGATGATGCAGATATGGGAAGATTAACTCATGTGTACTTTTAACAAGTGTCACAGAAAAGAATTAAAGGAAATTTTATATTAGTACAATTCGCAACAACTCATGAAGAAATAATGTAAAATTTGTGGGTGCAGAACACCAGCACATCTAGCAGATGCCAAACATTATATATGGTAGTGACCAATACTTTCAACCATTAGAGCAAAGCATCTACATGGATTTGCAACAGAAATTATAGTGAAAGGTTTATTCTGCATTACAAAGAGTGTGTTTGCACTTTTACAAATGATGAAATATATCATTGAAAATGAAGTCATGGTGCTTATAAATATTTATGTTATGTGAATGAATTGTTAAGTATTTAAGAGCAAGTAAAAATTATGAGAAGTCCAATCTACATTTGTAAACAAGATCAAGAAAAGATTGATTATCTTGTCTTTTCATCTGTATACCTTGTATATATTTTTCTTCCTTACTCTCTTATTATATTACTTTACAAGCTTTAAAGAAGGACCAGTAAGTCCCATTCATGAAGTTAAGGAGTTTTCCTGTCAAGTGTAGTTAATCAGTGTACTCCCAGCCTTATGTAAGCGTATACTGAGTGAATGCCAGTCAGTTGTTTCAGCAATTTTGGCACATGTTTCAGAACTGTTTCCCTGCAGTGTTCTTCAGTGAATGGAGCAAGAGTTCACAAAGTTTGTATTGTATTTGCATACAGTATAGTTATTTTTGGACATTCATATTCCCACTAATTACACAATTTCCGATAACCTCTTTTGATGCCATACAACCTGAGATTATGATGCAAACTTGATGTTTGGTAATAGATGTGATGGAATCTGGCTGCAGATTCCACCCAATGGAATAGTAGTTAGTGACTGACTACCATACCAAAGTGCCTGGGTTCGAATTTTGAAGAAGGCATGGGTGTTTGTAAATGTATAGTATCTTTGCAGCATGGGGCTTTCTAAATAATTGGCAAGCCGTAAGGCCTTTCATGTGATTTTAATGGTAGGGAAAGAAGGGTGGGAGACCCTTGCATCCATTCCACCATGTACTCTCTCTTTCAAAATAGGGGTGGAACTGGCCAGAATCATACTGTAACCTCTATAATCCTGAAGGCTCATGCCAATGACAGACATAATCTCATACTTCTTGCCTCTGGGCCTCTAAATTGCATGGCCTTGTTCTGATGGGATCAGACAAGAATCATCTAGGCACTGTGTTTTAGTTCTGTTATCACTTTGTTTCTATTAGCATATCTACTTTTACCAGTCTGGTTTTGTAGTGACTGACTGTTCTCATACTTCATCAAAAATTTAGAAATGGCATTATAAGGTATTTCTTCCACTTCCCTAGTGTGCCTTCGTGGTGTAACGGTAGCATGCTGGGCTGGTATTCCAGACATCTGTGGTTCAATTCCCTGCGAAGGCGGTTACATATTTTTCTTCTTGTCTGTTTTCAGAAAATTACCTAATGTCTCTACAGTGGCACCCGAACTAAAAGGGTTGTGGATGATGATTCTCCGCACCCGGGATTTGCCGACTAGGTCCTCTGAAACCCTAGTCACCCTGTAAAAAGGGGAGTATATAAGGTATTTCTCCCACTTCCATAGCGTGCCTTCGTGGTGTAACAGTAACACACTGGGTCGGTATTCCAGAGGTCCGTGGTTCGATTCCCGGCGAAGGCGGTTGCATATTTTTCATCTTTTCTGCTTCCTATTAACCTAATGACTCTACAGCATCTTCATTAATTGTTAACTTTCCACCAATTTTCCTTTTAATTCCTTCATAACTGAATCTTTATTCACTTAGTAATATTTTATGTTGGTTTCTAGGTAATCAGTTAACTCATTGCATAATTTCTTTAATTTTGTTTCAAAATCTCAATAAGTTAAAAAATGCACACATATCCCCTCTACCCCCCAAAACACTTAATAGCAATAATGTTTAATGCATGACATCATTAGTTAAATCTTTCCTGACCTGACTGGCTCATTCTCAAAACAAGATGAGAGTTTTTTGCTCTCTAAACATTCATGTTCATCAGATAGTTTGAAATGAAGGAAATCTATTTCACATGAACCTAAGCTAGTTGTCCTTCTCTTTTATTATATGGCTAAAACATTTGATAGACTTCAAATAATTAAATAAATTTGATGCATTATATTCTTGCTAGAATTATTTTCCTGCTGATATGTAATTTTATAGTATTATTCCAAAAATGATGTTATGAGCCATCAAACCTCAAAGGTAAACATTTCAAAACTTTTTTCACAGCTTTAGCCACTGCTTTATATAGTATGTGTGCAGGGGGGAAAAA